GTTGTATTTTGCCATCATTGTTTGTATCCAAATTGGGTTAGTCTGTTGCATCACACTATGTTGAGTTTATACTTTCCTTACCTTACAAAAGTATGTTTTTGATTTTTTAAAATATTGAGATTTGAGTAAGTTATTTACTAAAAAAAAAAAAAACTTTTTTTTTAGTACCAAATGTACAGAAATGCAATTTGGTGAAATTTTGAATTTTTTCCCAAAGATTTTTGCCACTTCAGTTAAATATCTATTATATAATTATTTCCTTATATAGAACACGTGCCTGATGAGTAATGTACATTTGATCAGTAAATATCAGCTATTTAGACTCATTTTCCTCTGTTCTGCCTATAATGCCCTAGCAAAAGGGAAGGGATAAAGTCAGATTACAGAATCTGAGGAGTAATAAACTTGTAAGATATGCTTAAGACTGAGTAATAAACAATATAGCTTACCAAGAAATAGGCTACAAGTTCAAGCCAAATCTTATGAACTGACAACAAGGAAGAGTTCAACACTCTAGGTTTTGGAGAGGATGTAAAGACTGTTGTCCTAATTAAGCCTGATGAATTGACAGACAGTTCTAGGGTTATGCTAAATTCAACTACCAGATGATGCCTGCCCCTACTACTGAAGCTCAAATGGAAAAGTATGTTCAAACATGCTTTGATTCTATTCCTCTTGATTTATTTCAAAAGTAAGTACTTTAAATCTTTCTTTCTTACAAAATTGATTTTATTATATGTTTTGTAGGTATTGTAACTAGTCTGCTCAGTTTATGGATGCATATAGAAAGGGGTTGACAGGAGCACAGGCTTAATGGGCAAATAAGAAATACTATAGTTATAGAATCCTTCCAGCTAGTATTCTGGCTAAGCTGTAAAACCATAATCTATATTTTTTTTTGTATTTACAAGTACTAAAAAAATGTTAATGTCTACTGCTCGATTTTTGCCATCAGGGTCCTTCCTAATGGGGAAGTGGCTGTGCTGTGACTGATGTGACATACTATGTTGAGTTTATACTTTCCTTACCTTAGGTTAGATTAAGCTGAATATATCTATATAGCTCAAATTTGCATTTTTAGAATACTGAGTGTTGTATTTTGCCATCATTGTTTGCATCCAAATTGGGTTAGTCTGTCACATTACACTATGTCGAGTTTATACTTTCCTTACCTTACAAAAGTATGTTTTTGATTTTTTAAAATATTGAGATTTGAGTGAGTTATTTCTAAAAAAAAAAAACTTTTTTTTTTGGTACCAAATGTACAGAAATGCAATTTGGTGAAATTTTGAATTTTTTCCTGAAGATTTTTGCCACTTTGGTTAAATATCTATTATATAATTATTTCCTTATATAGAACACGTGCCTGATGAGTAATGTACATTTGATCAGTAAATATCAGCTATTTAGACCTATTTTCCTCTGTTCTGCCTATAATGCCCTAGCAAAAGGGAAGGGATAAAGCCAGATTACAGAATCTGAGGAGTAATAAACCTGTAAGATATGCTTAAGACTGAGTAATAAACAATATAGCTTACCAAGAAATAGGCTACAAGTTCAAGCCAAATCTTATGGACTGACAACAAGGAAGAGTTCAACACTCCAGGTTTTAGAGAGGATGTAAAGACTGTTGTCCTAATTAAGCCTGATGAATTGACAGACAGTTCTAGGGTTATGCTAAATTCAACTACCAGATGATGCCTGCCCCTACTACTGAAGCTCAAATGGAAAAGTATGTTCAAACATGCTTTGATTCTATTCCTCTTGATTTATTTCAAAAGTAAGTACTTTAAATCTTTCTTTCTTACAAAATTGATTTTATTATATGTTTTGTAGGTATTGTAACTAGTCTGCTCAGTTTATGGATGCATATAGAAAGGGGTTGACAGGAGCACAGGCTTAATGGGCAAATAAGAAATACTATAGTTATAGAATCCTTCCAGCTAGTATTCTGGCTGAGCTGTAAAACCATAATCTATATTTTTTTTGTATTTACAGTGCTAAAAAAATGTCAATGTCCACCACTCGATTTT